CACTAAACACGCCAGAGACATTAAATTTTATCTCTGGGATGGTATGAGATGACTTTGTAGTAACTGTGTTCAAAATTAGTCAGTGGGCGTGGTACCGCCCACTTTTAGGTGGAAACCCATATCTTGGGATCTGCTTAACCGATTTATACCAAATTCGGTGCCTAACGTTCTTTTCATATTTTTATGTTATAGTGCGAAAATGGGCGAAATCGGATTACAACCACGCCTATTTCCCATATAACACCATTTTCAATTCCATCTGATTCTTTCACTTTCCACTATGCATATCAAGCAACAATGATTATATCGGGGTAAAACTTTGCGAGAATAATACGTTTAAAGTATGGACCCCAGTACCTATAGTTGACTTTCTACCGAAAATATCAGTCAATCCACAAAGAAATCTCAAACGAGTATACCATTTGACATTGCGAGAGTATAAAATGTTCGGTTACATCCGAACTTAGCCCTTCCTTCCTTGTTATATTTCTCTTTGATATAATCATAATGGAAACTATACATTTTAAATTTAGAAAGTTCTAAAATGGTGAAAGCTGTGGAAATTTGGTTTTGCGATTAAGGCTCTAGCACCTAATTTTTTTCTACCGCTTCTTCCGATACTAGTATTATTCCAATATTGTACTAATATATTTACTCTTTTATCTACATTCTCCATAGTTTTCCCATACACCGCATAATTTAATAATTTAAAGAAATTTTCTTCAAACTTATTTGCTGATAATGTTCTATGATAGTTATTTAAATCAATCTCCTCTAGGTTTTCAACCCATTCAAAATTATTATGAGGGATATATTGTGACATAGCACAACCATATAAATTATTAACATCTAAAAAAATTATAAAATTTGAAAGCTTAGTCGCATCGTAATCACTTAAATATTTATTGTTAGCAATTGAATACCGTTTACAACATTGAAAAATACCTCCCCTAATCCCCGACAAAATAAAATTATGCATGTTTTCATCAGTCAACAATTCTATTTCTATTTTACTTGTAGTTATTTTAAGCATTTCATCCCAAGATAATTCTGGAGATGTAGAATATTGACATGGGTCTAGTCGATAAATTCCTTTACATAAATTTTATAAAATTTTAAAAAATGCCACTGAGGAGTAGCACATCTACTTTTAAATATAACAACAAATAATCTAATAAAATGGAACAATTAAATGTTTACCAAACATTTTGTGCATGCTGATAATCATCTATACTACATGACTCATTTGTTAATTTATTAAAGAAATATGAACGAAATGGTAGTTGTGTTTCGTTGAGACGTTCTTCTGAATCTAAGTAGTCATATGGGAAAATACTTTTACGTTTCACTAAATGTTATTTGTAAATCAATATTAGCATTATTATTTAAATTCTTAGATAAACTATCTAAACTAGAAGGCATGAATCTAAATGAATCTAAAAACCGAAGTTCAATGATATTTTATCATTAACCTTAATTTTCTTTGATATCGAAATATACAATTCTTTGTTTAAAGAAATAATGTTTATATCCCTCTTAACAGACGACGACTCTTTTATAAATAGATCACAATCATATTTCGATAAATTATGAAAAAATATTGGAATAAAATTTGCCATCTGATATTCTAAATTACATTTTCTATGTGACGGGCCTCTATATTCACCAGTTAAATGACAATGGTCTGCTACCCTATCATTTAATAAAAGTTCCATTCCACAAATGACAGACTATATCCTCTTTTTGACGTCTACGTTGGTTGACAGTTAATTTAAGTATTCTAACTGGTTTACTCAAATATAGATTGTAAATATCTAAAACATCATTTAAAGTACATTTAAAAATATGTTTTGGAGCATCAATACCGCTATATATTATAACGATTCAGTTGGTTATTATACGAACACTTAATAAAATAACAATCAGCATAATGAATGTTCTTGTACATCTTGAGTACATGTGTTAACTAAGCGTAAGAGACAACGACCTGTAAAGATAATACAAGATAAGGGTTCTCCACAAAAAGTCACCCAACTAAAAGCTAACATTGCAAATGTAAATAATTGTATTGATCTTTGTGAATTAACACCAGCAGCAGTTCCTATAAAGGGGAGTTTAGACACTAAAGGGTTCATAACTGTTGGAAATTTTATTTTAAATAGTAAGATGAAAGAAGATCCCTCATTTGAAGTTAATTTTAAAAATGATGGAGATATTCAAATATTAAAATTTTTAATACAACAGTGGTTTGATGCTTTAGAATGCAATCAAACTTCAACAAAAAAACATAATATTAGCTGTGAAGTTGAATGGATCCGTAAAGATAAACTTCTTAAAGAACTTTTAGGAATTGTATATAATTATAAATATAAAGGAATTGTTACATTTACCCATACTAAGCTCTTACAAAAAAGCTTATATGTATTTATTCAATTTAGTTGTAACAAATGTTTTATTTATAAATGTTCAAATGTTTTAAAATAATATATAAATATACAAACGAAAAATATAATAAAAAAAAATTTAAAAAAATCTGTTTCTTTTATTATTACACATTCATCAAAATTGACTGTATATACAAACTTGCACTTAAATTAAAAATATCAACAAAATGTGCTTTTAAAAAGTTCTCATGCACTTTTATCATACGAAAAGAAAAAAGTCCCACCACACCCACACACACACACACTTTACAAACTATAAAAGTAAAGCAAATCGGCAAAATATACACTTCTGGTCACGCATATATATGTGTATGTATATATTTTTCCTTTCACCAAGGGGGGTAGGAGCCTCATTTTGCTACTACTTGTAAAAGCTCTAAACAAGGAAGGGGAATGTTTTAAAAATATCCGTAAAATATTTCCGAAATTGAGCACTGAAAAAATTAAGGCTAATATTTTTGCCGGCCCTCAAATCAAATCAAATTTTTATTAGTTCAATAAAGGACCAACTTTTTACTGATTGTAATGCAGATAATTAAATCCGCATGGATTGAAATTATTTGGGTTGCGCAAAATTTCTTCGGAAACAAAAAGTCTTTAGACTACATTCAACAAATTGAGCAGCTCATGTTGCACTTCCAAAGACTAGTAGTGTAACATGAGCATCAAGATGCACTTCCTCTTCAGCCATTTAGACCGCTTCTCAGAAAATTAGGCAACTTAAGCGCAGAAAAAGGAAAACGTTTTCTCGGGATATTCGCACTGTGAAAGGGCGATACCAGGGTCGTTGGAATACAAATATAATGGCTGATTACTGCTGAAGCATTCAAAACAAGACTGATGTTTCTACTCATGCAAGACAGCCATAAAAGAATTTTTTTATGTTAAGTAAGAGCAATATATGTATTCTTTAATTCTAAAATTATAGTATTTTTGGCTAAAAATGAAATATGTTCATATGAAATGGAAAAAGTCGAAAACTAGAGCTGCTAGAGAAAAATTACAGATTTGGAATCAGCGTGGCAAAATCATACACAATCGGGTAAAAAACTTCATAAAACAAAGCTACTGTTTTCCAGTGTAATAGGGCGGATAAAAATTATAGGGAAGTTTTGGCACAAATTAGGTAACAATATTATTGACCGTTAATGATGAAACAATTTAAACAATATGTGAAAAATTGTAACATATGTAATAATAACAAATACAAAAGATACTCGAAACTAATTCCAATAGGAGAAGCACCAATACCTGAAAAATAAGCAAAACAACTCCTTGTAGAAATTTGTTTCGCAGAAAAACTAATATTTCTTACATGTATAGATTCTTATTCTAAATATCTAGTTCTGAGACATATTGAAGACAAATTCAATCTAGAAGGTAAAGTTTTGGAACTTTTACAAACATTTCCAAATGATAAAAGTATAGTTATAGATAATGAGCCAGGCTTAAGTACAATACAGTTCAAGTCTTTGATGTAAAGGTTAAAAATACAAATTTATTATTGCACAGCATGCTACAGTATTAGCAATGGTCAAGTAGAAATACTTCATCCAACTCTAATAGAAATTTCTAGATGTTTAAAACAAGAACACAGCTTAGTAAGAAGTTTTGAGTCAATTTTAAGAGCAGTTCAACAATATAATAAAATAATTCATTCAGTAGTAGATAAAAAACCGTGTACTATTTTATTTAATGAAGTAATTTACGAAAATATGAAAGATATGTTAAAAAATGCTCAAAAAAAATGTAAGAGCACCAAAACCAAACAAGGATTCAAAAAAATTTTAATAGAGAAGAAGTTATATACGAAAAAATACAATATATATGGATAGAAATAAATTAAATCACAAATAAAAACAAGTAAAAAAGATCTAGCTCGGTTGTAACCAAACATTTTATACTCTTGCAAGCCGGGGAAATACCCTCAAGTGCTGGCAATACTATATATTAAGAAATGTAGCGAAAAAAATTCAACTTCATTGTTCGACGAAATGGTCAATGGATTACAATCAAATTTGGTACCATATTAACTTGTTTTAAAATTCATAGTTCCTTTAGTTATATTACTAAACTACTATATAATACTAATGGTACAAAAAAAAGAAGCAAATGAATCAATAATAACTATAAAATACGGTGCCATAATAAAACCGGGGAAACACAATGTTATTAATCACAAAATTTATACACAATAGGAGTTTACTTAATAACTTTTTCGATTCATGTAAGAATAGATAACAAAACATATGAAAATACTACAAGGAAAATTGTGAACTATTTAAGTATTTATACTAACTCTCATAAAACAGGAGAAAAAATGGAATTCTATTTGGTGGTCATTTACTAAGATAATATTATATTAATAAGCATAATTGCATACTTTATGCATAAATTAATTATTGTATATACATTAACTTCAAAATTAATACAAGAAATTTTAATAAATTTTTAAAATCAAATAAATAGAAATAGCATACACTTCCTAGAATGTAAGCCTGGCTTTTTATCTAGACTTAAGGAAAGTAATGTATAAAAATAAGTGAAATAATGATATAGCAGTTCAGTCGCTTATTAGCTTCAAAAGCTTTAAGTCAAATATTTTTATTTTAAATAGCTTTCCGGTCAACGCCGCTAATTTAAGTTGCGTACAATTACATAATTTCATGGTTATCTTATAATATCTTAAATATAATATTATATACACGCACACAACGATGATTGTACTGAATTTTAGTCATTGAATGGACAATGTTTTACAAACGGCATGTCGATGCAGTAACAACCTCTCGCGCTGTATTAAAAATATAATTACTATGCATAAATGTGTATTAAAAGTAAAAATTTATTCAATACATACTCGTCAGGGGCATCATTGCCAATATTATATTCTTGCGTTTGTGTAATAACTCCAAAAGAATTTTTCCCACTAAACGGTAAAAGTTTAGACGATTCTCTACATCCATTTGGGCAGGAAACACCAACAAATTTTTTATGTTTGAACATAGCACTAGCGAGGAAGCAAATGCTTAAAAAATGCGAGCAACGGGATCGTCCTAGGGAATGGAAGTTTGAAGTCAAATAGTTTTATATTTTTTAATATTCACTATAGTATATGATGGTTAGCCCATTAGTGCGCAGACGAAACTAGTAAAGGTAGAATTATGAAATTTGGAAAGTGACCTTATTTTAAGCTAAATAAAGAAATATATATGTACTCCCATCATTTGGAAAATTAATTATTTTACTTTTACAGAGCGTCCTTTATTAAGGTCAACGCGCATGGAATACCTTTCATATTGAATAAATATGTATATTAGAGGATGTGTTTACTTGTAATTTTATTTAAATTTACATTAAGCTCGTATTTACATTACGGAATGTCATAATGCATTCTTTTGGATGAAGCGGGCGTTGACATTTTACGCAAACGTACTTAGATTTTTTGCCACAGTAGGGCATTGAATCAACCCAATTTCTATGTCCATCGAAACTGGCATCAATCATCGCTGATAGAATTCATCCTCTCCACTCCATACTTCTCCAACAATGATCTGGATAATTCCCTTTAAAAATTTAATAGGCTTCACAAATACAAAGGTTCCTTACACTAACTTGATTCCGATAGTTCAATTTGTATGGCAGCTTTATGATATAGTGATCTGATATCAACAATTTCTTCGGAGAATACATTGTTGCCTTAAACAATAGCTGGTGCCTAATTTCGTGAAGGTACCTCGTCAAATGAAAAAGTTTTCCATGCAAGCACTTTACTCCAATTGTTAAGTTTGTATGGCAGCTATATTCTATAGTGGTCCGATATCGTTCCGACAAATGACCAGCTTTTTAGTGAGGAAAGGATAGGTGCAAAATTTTAGGTCGATAGCTTAAAAACTGAGGGACTAGTTTGCATATATACAGTCAGACAGACAGACGGACGTTACAAACTTCGTGGCATACTTAATATACCCTGTTCAGGGTATAAAAAGAGGACAGTACCACATATGTTGCCTCATTCGGGATATCGAGATCATACATTGACCTTTTCGTCTAAAAAGTCCACACCACCCATACCTTTATTGTAGTTAGCGTACATTTGTGGTTGAGCGGTACTAATTTTTTCTTTTTTTTCTTTTGACCATCGAAGACATGTGGTTCCTTCTACGGTATCAAATGTTGTAAACAATACAACTATTTGATTATCTTTCCATGCGCATACTAAAACCCCAGAATTATTATCGTATCGATAATCATAAGTTTCACGACCATCTGTTTTCATATTTTGTTTTTTTTTTCGTTTCTAAGAATGATATGATATTAATTTGTAGGACGAAAAAAAGCGATTCAAATATATTTTGTGACCAAGGTTTGGCGGTAAATTGTTGTTTATAATCAATTCCATTGCAACTGATACACCTATTCCAAGAGAGGAGGACGACTCATTGGGATTGGGATTTTTTCCAGTATAAATAATAAAATTAAATAAATTGTCATTCCTGCTGCATATCGCCCAAACCTTATATCCAAACTGACTTGGCTAACCTCGAATGAATTGCTTAGCAAAGTGTTTGCTATGGTATGGTATCATACATTCATCGATAAATACATTTTCTGATAAATGGCCGTATTTCAGGAATGCTTCATTCATCGTTAATTACACTACTTAAAAAAATTTATACATTATTTCTTTGTCACATGAAAAGTAATATGAAAATTTGAAGGGCCACTAAACAATAATATGTGAAAGAAAAAAAATTTACACGTCAGGTTTTAAGGAAACATATATTTTCTTAAAAAGTACAAAAATTTGGTCCATTTGAAAATGAAATTTCTTAATATAGAAAAAATATTTATGATTTTCGTAAATATTTGGCTTCTGGAATATCTTTTTTAAGTCTCCAACAATAATCTGCTAGCATTCCTGAGCTCCATTTCCCTTGATAGCGCCACTCCATTAAGGAAATATGCTGATGGAACCTCTCGCCTTGTTCGTCGCTCACAACACTCAAATTTGCCGGAAAGAAATAAAAATGAGAGTCTAGAATATGTATCTTTAAGGGCATATTACACCCCAAAGCTTTATATGACATTATAAGTTCATTTATTAAGTCTTTGTAGTTTTCCGATTTATGGTTTGCTAGAAATATTTGGACAACGTTCATATAAAATTTTCAGGCGAGTATTTCCTAATTATTCAGTTTTGCTTTGAAGCTCTTATCCTTTATAAGTTGCCGTATTTGTGAACCTACAAATATTACCTCCTTAATTTTTGCCTCGCCAAGTTTCGTTAGAATTTCTCTATTAAATATACAAATCCATTATCCTGATTTTCTGATCAATTTGGAGGCTTTGGCACATACAGTTCGGCACTATGTAGTATAAGTTTGTGGGCCGAAGACAAGTTTGGATACTGGGTAGTATGTTTGGACTTGGTTGTAATGCTTTGGTTTGAGTCAAACAAAAATAAAAATCCCTTACATGATCCTTCAATTCAGTCGAAATTATTGGCATAACAAATTATTAAAACCAAATCAATCTAATTAGGGTACACCAACATAAACAAACATAATTTCAAAGTTAATGTGACAGTGTTTACCAGTGTTATTGGTTGTAATTTGTATTCATCAAACGATGCATACAAAAATATTTAACTTTTCCGCAGCGTTATTTTGTAAGGCCTCCATGCTCTAATGGGTTAAGCTAAAAATAGTATACATATGGATTGATTCATACTTTTTCAGATTAAACGTATGCCACGTATCAGGATTCACAACCATTTATGTTTTTAATGTTAAAGTGTATTCAATGATTTCGATATTTCATTAAATAAAAAGTGTAATGTCGATATTAAGTCATAGTATGTGTCGTGGAATGACTTTATCATTATTGCATAATTATTTCTCACAGTTTTAAAAATACCCACAATAAACATAAATTTCTGTACATTGGCAAAGGTTCTTTTACACTTTGAAACCGTGTCTTGTAATGCAAAAATTTCAGAAAGTCTGGTCAATATTACCCCAACTCCCATATGCTACTTATAATGATTTTCGTTATTCTAATAAGTTTTATGGCGAATATGTCACATAATATACAACGTTGTTTCAAGATATATTCTCGAGTATATCTGAGTCATGTCAAAAAGAATGCAATCAGCCCGTCCCTTTTTCTGATTTCAAGATTTAATCGATTAATGGATGTTTAATTTATTTCGAAACATTTTTTATTGTAAAGCTTTGCCAGCACCTGAAGGAATTTTTCGGGCTTTGATTCTTGCAAGCAAGAGCAAATAAGAGTATAAAATGTTTGGTTACACTTGAACTTAACCCTTTCTTACTTGTTTTAAATAACTTCATTAAAACGACTGTATAACTATTCCATTCGATTAACTTCCATCATATATACATACGCTTGCTACATCGTAAAAATGCCACGACAGTGTTCTAACGACCACGACAGTTTTTTATATGTGTAATTAATTGAACAGTGCAATTTAGACTATTTTGGATTTCCTGTGTGGAATCAAGATAAATCCTGCGTTTCACATAAATATTGTGTAAAATGTGTGGTGGTTATTAGGTTGGGCTAAATAAGACATATGCCGTGTGCTACACCATATCTCCTAAACCATTCAAGATATAATAACCAAGTTCGCTCAGGGTAGATCTTTTTAGTAACCGTACCCGCTTTGTGAATTCGGATTATAAAACCGCCCACTTTCCATATAACGGTTCTGTTAAAAACTACTAAAAGCGCGATAAATCAATAAATAAATGCGTCAGAAACGTACAATTTTACACCCGATATCATAGGAGTGGAAATTTTAGGAGTCGCTTTGACGATGGGCGTGGTACTTCCCCCAATTAGGTGAAATCACATATCTCCAGACCTGCTCGACCGATTTAAAATTTCGGTACGTAGCATTATTCTGACATTCCTATGTCGCAGTGCGAAAATTGGCGAAATCAAACTACAATCACGCCTAATTCACAATTTTAAATTTCATCTGATACTCTCATTTTTCAGTATACAAATTGAATATATCGGGACAAAACTTTGCACACCTTTGAAGTGTGCCAGCTTATGTCCAAATATTGTTCAAATCGGATCAAAACTATGCAATTCCCAGGTACCGAATATATGGACCCCAGTTGCTATTGCGAACTTTTTATAGAAAATATTGGTCAATCTATGGGATATATTATAGAAACTCAAAGAGAATCTTTATCTGATAAGAATATGCCCGTGTACCAAAAATGGGTTGAATCGGATCAATAATTAACTCAGTCCCCATGTACCTAATAGAAAAATTTTTGAACTTCCGGCTGACTTTATACCGCAAATATCGGTCCATATGTAAGTCATCTGAATGAAATTGAAAGATAATGATTTTCTAATAACAATGCATAGTTGTGCATAAAACGGATAAAATCGCGTAAAAACTTGGCCCAGCCCCCATATAACTAATATCAGGAGTTTAAAACCTCCGGTTGTCTTTATCCCGCATATACTGGTGATGGTATGTGAGGTACCTTATTAAAACTCCGAATTCATCTTTTTCTGTTAATAAAATGTGGCAATAAATACCTCCCCTATCTCTCATATATCTAATATAAGACTTTCAAACTTCCGGTTGGCTTTAAACCGTATATATCAGTCAATATGTAAGACATCTTAAAAAAATTAACTGAAAGTATAATATTGGACATACTATCGTTTAATGCCGAAAATATGTGATATTGGACTACGAATCAGCCAAACATCCATATACTACATATAATAATTTTCGTTATTCTAACAAACACTATGCTGAATATGTCGATCAGTGAATGAGTTATATAACGGGTGTTTTTTTCGAGGTATAGAACTTTAAGTTGGCATTACTGTTCAAGATGGCGACCGATTTAACAGCTGTCAAGTGATTTATTCCCGAACAGCGCTTGCAAATAGTGCAATTTTATTTCGAAAATAATGGTTCTGTGCGAAATTCGTATCGCGCACTACGTTCATTCATCGTTGACAATTTTTTTTAGCGATGAAGCGCACTTCTGGTTGA